TTCTCAATATTTATGTTTTTCTTCACTGTTGAGGGTAATTGAAATATCAACTCTCCAAAATTCATTTTTATTTTTGGTTTGATGCCTAAAAGCGTTTCGTAAGGGCTTCTTACATTCTCAAAGACTTGTTTTCACTTAACACTACACGTATGATACACTTGATACACTGTGTATGATATATTTAACCTACATCTTGCTTTTTATATTTTTGTTGGGTGAGGTGACACAAAAGTTCTATGGTACCATTGAACAGAGGGTCTTAGTTGACATGGACTTGAAACCCGCCGTATACTGCAGGTATGTTGACGACATTTTTATGCAGGTACCTGATGTCAGACCTCTGCAGCAGCTGAAGGAGGTATTCGAGGAGAATTCTGTGTTAAATTTCACTTACGAGATGAAAAATGATGGGAAGCTGCCCTTTCTAGATGTAACAGTCACGGAAAGGAACGGAGGCTTCCACACTGCAGTCTACACTAAGGAAACAAACATAGGAATGTGCCTCAATGCCAATAGTGACTGCCCAGACAGGTACAAGAGGATTGATGTCAACGCTTACGTCGACCGGGTTTTCAGTCACATCTCAGGATGGAAGCAAGTCGATGAAGAACTCTGTTAAGTAAGGCAGGTTCTAGTCAACAATGGCTTCTCTAACGGATACGTTGAAGAGAAAGGTGAAACTCCATGCAACCTCTGAAGAGTCAACTAACACAACACCTGTACCCCTTATTAGGTTGTTTTACAGGAACTTCTTTTCTATGGCTCATAAAACGGAAGACAGGGTCCTGAAAGATATTGTTAATAGGAATGTTATCCCCACAGACAAAAATCAGAAAATACAATTCACACTTTACTATAAAACCAAAAAAACAGCCAACCTTCTCATGAAAAACTCCCCAGACACCAAACAGAACGCCTTGAAGGAAACCAATGTCGTCTATGCCTTCAAATACCCACTTGGGGACTGTAAGCCCCAGAGAACTTAGTATATAGGCAAGACAATAATGTCTCTTTCCAGACAATTAACAATGCATAAACAACAGGGCTCCATCGAGGAACATATAATCTCTTCTCACAACCAGACCATCACCAGAGAAGTCTTTAACAAACAACACAGAAATCATCGATAGATACAACAATAGCAGGAGGCTCGACATCAGCGAGGCACTACACATCAAAAAGTAAACACCAGCAATCAACAGCCAATTAACACATAACTACATTCTACCCACTTCAAGACCTCGTGTGGGCCAATAGGCCCTATGCAGTTAGTTTCAATCTTATGTACGCACCTCACCCAAAACTTTTGTGTCATCTCGCCCAACACGAATATAAAAAGCAAGATGTAAGTTAAATATATCATACACAGAGTATCAAGTGTATCATACATGTAGTGTTAAGTGAAAACAAGTCTTTGAGAATGCAGAAAACCCTTACAAAATGGTTCTAGGCATCAGACCAGAAATAAAAATTAATTTTGTTGAGTTGATATTTCAATTACCCTCAACAGTGAAGAGAAATATTGAGAAAATTCGTGTTAGAATTATTAATCTTACCTTTTCGGTCATATTCAACAACATACATACATATTTTATATATATATATATATATATATATATATATATATATATATATATATATATATATATATATATATGTCGTACCTAGTAGCCAGAACGCACTTCTCAGCCTACTATGCAAGGCCCGATTTGCCTAATAAGCCAAGTTTTCACGAATTAATTGTTTTTCGACAACCTAACCTACCTAACCTAACCTAACTTTTTCGGCTACCTAACCGAACCTAACCTAGAAAGATAGGTTAGGTTAGGTTAGGTAGGGTTGGTTAGGTTCGGTCATATAACTACGTTAATTTTAACTCCAATAAAAAAAAATTGACCTCATACATAATGAAATGGGTAGCTGTATCATTTCATAAGAAAAAAATTTGAGAAAATATATTAATTCAGGAAAACTTGGCTTATTAGGCAAATCGGGCCTTGCATAATAGGTTGAGAAGTGCGTTCTGGCTACTAGGTACGACATATGTATATATATATATATATATATATATATATATATATATATATATATATATATATATATATATATATATATATATATATATATATATATATATATATATATATATATATATATATATATATATATATATATATATATATATATATATATATATATATATGACAGTGTCAGACCTCGGAGGAAGAATTGAAACAGGAATTTCCTTAAGTACTTTTGTTTATTAATACATCTTCAGAAGGAAACATGCCTTCTGAAGATGTATTAATATACGAAAGTACTTAAGAAAATTCCTGTTTCAATTCTTCCTCCATGGTCTGACACTGTCACATTTTTTCATCAAGTGGTAAAGTTTTTGTGATTTACACACAAACACACACACACACACATACACACACACACAAAGGGGCCTGGTAGATAGCGCGCAGGACTCGTAATTCTGTGGCGCGGGTTCAATTCCCGCACCAGGCAGAAACAAATGGGCAAAGTTTCTTTCACCCTGAATGCTCCTGTTACCTAGCAGTAAATAGGTACCTGGGAGTTAAGTCAGCTGTCACGGGCTGCTTCCTGGGGTGTGTGTGTGTATGGGGGGAGGGGAGGGGAGTGGTAGTTAGTAAACAGTTGATTGACAGTTGAGAGGCGGGCCGAAAGAGCAAACCTCAACCCCCCCAAAACACAACTAGGTGAATACACACATATTTCATATTGGTTCGGGGTCTTGAAGTAGATAGAATATAGTTGTGCATTAATTGGCTGTTGATTGCTGGTGTTGACTTTTAAATGTGTAGTGCCTCACTGATGTTAAGACGCCTGCTATTGCCGTACCTATCAATGATTTCTGTGTTGTTTATTAAGATTTCTCTGGTGATCGTCTGGTTGTGAGAAGAGATTATGTGTTCCTTGATGGCTCCCTGTTGCTTATGCATTGTTAGTCGCCTAGAAAGAGATAGGTCAACACCAGCAATCAACAGCCAATTAATGCACAACTATATTCTACCTACTTCAAGACCCCGAACCAATATGGAAGCAGCAAGAGGAAGTATGGGCCAATAAATCTTCTGCAGTTACTTCCATTCATATGTTCACTTATCCAATTTATACCCATTGTTTCGTGTTCTGTCTTGTGTTTGTCACCTCACCATAAACTTTTGTACCATATCACCTCATCCAATAGAGTATAAGTACGAAGATTTTGTGTGTAAATTAAGTCTTTGAAAATGTAATACGAATTACGAAACGCGTTCAGGTGTCAGACAATTAAAAAGTGAATTTCGGAGAAGTTATATATATATATATATATATATATATATATATATATATATATATATATATATATATATATATATATATATATATATATATATATATATATATAATGTCGTACCTAGTAGCCAGAACGCACTTCTCAGCCTACTATGCAAGGCCCGATTTGCCTAATAAGCCAAGTTTTCATGAATTAATTGTTTTTCGACTACCTAACCTAACCTAACCTAACTTTTTCGGCTACCTAACCTAACCTAACCTATAAAGATAGGTTAGGTTAGGTTAGGTTAGGTAGGGTTGGTTAGGTTCGGTCATATATCTACGTTAATTTTAACTCCAATAAAAAAAATTAACCTCATACATAATGAAATGGGTAGCTTTATCATTTCATAAGAAAAAAAATAGAGAAAATATATTAATTCAGGAAAACTTGGCTTATTAGGCAAATCGGGCCTTGCATAGTAGGCAGAGAAGTCCGTTCTGGCTACTAGGTACGACATATTATAATATATATATATATATATATATATATATATATATATATATATATATATATATATATATATATATATATATATATATATATATATATATATATACAGTAAATATATATGTTGTACTTAGTAGCCAGAATGCAGTACTCGGCCTACTATGCAAGGCACGATTTGCCTAATAAGCCGAGTTTTCCTGACTTTTTATATTTTTCTAATTTTTTTCTTATGATATGATAAAGCTATCCATTTCATTATGTATGAGTTCATTTTGTAATTTGAGTTAAAACTAACGTAGATATATGACCGAATCTAACCTACCCTACCTTATCTAATCTGTCTTAACCTATCTTGAGATGATCTTGAGATGATTTCGAGGCTTTAGTGTCCCCGCGGCCCGGTCCTCGACTAGGCCTCCACCCCCAGGAAGCAGCCCGTAGCAACTGTCTAACTCCCAGGTACCTATTTGCTGCTAGGTAACAGAGGCATCAGGGTGAAAGAAACATTTTGCCCATTTGTCTCTGCCTTCACCGGGGATCGAACCCGAGATCTCAGGACTACAATTCCGAAGTGCTGTCCACCCAGCTGTCAGGAGCACCTAACCTAAACTAACATAACTAAGTCAATAATTTATGTTCATAATTTAATATAATAATAATTCAAATAAACTAATTGGAATCAGCCTATTAGGCAAATTGGGCCTTGTATAGTAGGCCAAGAAGTGCATTCTGGCTACTAGTTATGACCTATATACATAGTATATACACACATATATAATCACACAGTCATATGATTCTGCTATTATATGCTCCATTGTAAGCATTTTGTGTCATTATCAGACCACAGAATGAACATAAAGGGGCTATGAGTTACACAAGACACAAGATAGCCTACCATATATTGGCAGCAAGTGTTGTAAAGTATGTGGGGACAAATTTGATATTAAACTGTGTATTAAAGAATGTACCTACAACAGATAATACAGTAATTTAAGGGCACTGTCACTTGATGTTGGGGCAGTTCACAGCACATCTTACACAAAGTACTGACCAAATTTCAAAAGAAGGACTTGATTATCTTAAGTATTTCACATATCACCATTTCAAATATTCATCATTTCAAGGTTCTACTGTAAATTTATTAATTAATATCATACTGTATTTAAATATTGGATAGAAATGTGAAAAGGATAATTTCACTGTTCAATTTCTTATTGCCTTAGCCATTTTATTGAAAATTGCTACACATAATATATCTGCTATGTTCTACTGTACAAGGGGTCTTGGTCAGAATAGACAAACCGGGCAGAACGGTCGCACCACCAGAGCGACATACACCCAGGGTTAAACCCAGTTAGTATAACTGGGTCATGAGTCATTTTGCTTCGATGAAATGATTTGACCTAGGCCAAGATGAAGACTGCATGACTGAGTGAGATAAACCTAGGCTGTGAGGTGTTTTGTGGTTGTCTACGTGTGTGAAGAAGTCATATTTAGGGCCAAGTCAATAAATTAATAATGGGTCACTGTAACACACAGAGTAAAGAATTATCTAACATATGTTAGAAGTTGATACAATTGTGTATTCAAGATGATTCTAAAAGCAAGCATGCCATATGAGTTAGCACCCCCAGGTGTGGTAGTCGAGTCTGGCGGTGGTGGTGCATCCTGGGTGATCATTTTCAGTGACTTACATTTGGCGTTGGTTGAATGGGAAGCAGTGAAGTATATCACACTGCTGGACCACAAGTTGCAGTGATGAAATGTTGGTGGTGTGAAGTGGTGGAGGTGAAATGGTGGAGGTGAAATAGTGGAGGTGAAGTGGTGGCGGTGAAGTGGTGGAGGTGAAGTGGTAGAGGTGAAATGATGGCGATGAAGTGCTGAAGGTGAAATGATGGTGGTGATGTAATGGAGATGGTGAAGTAGTGGTGGTGGTGAGAGAAATGATGGCAGTGAAGTGGTGAAGGTGAAATGGTGGTGGTGATGTAATGGAGATGGTGAAGTAGTGGTGGGGGGTGAGATGGTGAAGTAGTGGTGGTGGTGCAAATAGTTAAGTAGTGGTGGTGGTGATGGCGGTGGAGGCAGTGATGATGAAGTGGAAGAGATGGTGGAGGAGGTAGTGGTGAAGTGGATTAGATGGTGGTGATGAAGTGGTGGAGGTGAAGCAGTGGCACGATGACTATGTGGTGGTGGTGGTGGTGAGGTGATGGTGACATTGGTGGTGGAGATGACAAAGCGATAATAATGGTGGTGGTGGTGTTGAGTCATGGAGAGAAGGAGTGGGTTGGCCAATGTGGTAAAAACAGTTTAACATAGGGAATCTAGAAGAAAGAGAGATTTGGACATGATAAATAATAAATTATTCCTACATCTACAACACTTTGAGAGATCTGTACAGAATAGACAAAGGTCATCACTTCCAGTCCGGTAGGTAAGCTAACACAAAGTGTCTGAATAAAATACTTCCCATCTGATATTACATGAGTTGGGCCTGAGGCCAGAACAATGTCTGAGTAATACTAGTGAGAACAGACATTACTGTCTTTTGCACATGTGGAGGGCTGATCACGTGCCAAGGTCCCAGAGGTCCCAGGCTGGGAAATTTGTACATGAGTGCTGGGCCCAAAGTGAGTAGGTTCCAGCTGGCTCAGGGTTAATACCCTGGGGGTTAAGGACATATTCCAGTCCTTCCCAGGAGCACGTCCCAGGATGACGTTGGTAGTAGTGATGGGGAACTGCTGGTGCCTGGGACTGGGTAGTTTTCTTTGGAGCGAAGAAAACCGTGGACACTCTTACAAGGGTCCAGCCAGGAGACAGGCAGCATTGGTTGTCCAGTTGAGGCATGTGGACACCACCTATGAGCAATGACGGTTTATGAAAATATCTACATCTCCATCTTACCCTTGACTGCCAAAGTCTCCTGACACTGCTTTTTCAGGATATGGATCTTGGGGTCTTAAATGAGTGAAACTGAGAAAACATATTAAATAATATTAATAACAATTTTGTTTCCTACAAGATTCACATAGAAAGCACAATGAATGACACAACAGACTTATCATCAAACAGCAGAAATTAGAGCCACCATTTCACTTCTCTTTATATGGTGTATGTAAGAAGTCATACAGTGTACCATTTTTTTCAGTGCTCAGCCTGCACTTTCAGACTTCATAGGGTAAATCACTAGTGTTTCTAATCACATGTCATAATTCCACTGTAGGATAGCACTCCATCACAGGAGTTCTGCGTTTTGATTCACTTGAGAATTGTACCGAGGGCTGTGATGCCAGTTCCTCGAAAGAGTCTGCAAGGACCCAATGTCCCATCATCACTCCACCATATATAAATTCATATCACCATAATTGTGTGGCAAAATGTCATTGTGCAGACACAGTCACTACATTGCTGCACTCGCACAATGCCCTCATTGCCATGTTTAGACATGTCGTCAATATCTGGGATGAGGGAAAAGGTCAACTCCAGACTATTGACATGTCATAGGTTCTGCAGAGAACCAAGAGAGCTAGTTCACAGGGTAAAGTGGGGATGGGAGAGGGTCACGTCACGGCATAAAGTAGTCTGGATGATCCGGTGGAACATCCTTTTCAAATCGCTTTGCTTCTTCTTGCATACTCTCCTTAATCTTTAAAATGGCAGCCGACTCATTCTGGTCCTGAAATGAGAAAGGTACAAATACTAAAAAAAATTGTTTAACTAATGCTATAATTATTCTACTGAAAACTGTATATTATAAAAACACATTTGAAAATGTACTGGATAAAGAAATTAAACCAACATAAAACAGTAAAATTGTGTAGTCATGAAATAATGGTTAGTCCTCACAAAATAATAACAAAAGCTTAAAGCCAGGCCCTTGACCAAGAGGCTTTACCATGTAGGTGTAATTTTTTTAAGGTGGCACATACAATCCACTTTGCACTCTTGCAGAATAATAGCATGAACCATAAGTGTGTAGCATGTGAAGTCTACATTTACGCATAATTTTACAGAAGTACACGAGAGAACACTCAAAGAGGCAACCAATGGTGTGCTGAGAACCAATTTAAGTGGCTCAGGCCTGCAGGGTCTTGTCAGGAAGATTTGCTACATGGACTTTACAAATTTTGCAAAAAGTCCATTGCAAATCTGGACTAAAGTATCAGTTAGGTAATTATAGTTTGTTATTGAAGAAAAAGATATATTTAATAATTTTTGTTTATAAAAACAGGTAAACCAATATCACCAAAACTACAAAGCCTTATTTATACAAAAGAATATAAGCCTGACTAGACCCATTTCTATTTGGCAAGATCAGCCATTGTCAGCAATACTATAATGCTTGTTTTTATATTAATATAAAAAGCAAGCTTTATTATTACTTGTCAAAGCTTACAATAGGTGATGTTGCCAGCTGAGGAGTGGAGAAATGATTACATCTACACAGTTGAGTGGGCTGACCTGCCAGAAGACCTGACCAGGCAGTTCCCATCTGTCAGGGAACACTTACACCCTACACTCTTGCAAAACTGATAACTTTCTAATTCAGGATTCAAGAGAAAACATGCAATACATAACAATTCATAATGCACCAAAAACATTAAAAGAAATAGTTTTCAATAATTATGGTGAACAAAGACATTTAAAATGCAAGTGCTAGCTGTAAGTGCTCCCTGCATGATCGTGAAACATCTAGACAGCCTCCACCACAAGTGCCCCGGGCGCCAGAGTCGAGTGACGCCAAACAGCTACACAGCCATGCACCAAGAGTCCTACACCAGTGTCTCAGTGTGTCCCCCAGGCTCCCACACCAGTGTTTCAGTGTATCCTATGCTCCCACACCAGTGTCTCAGTGTATCCAAGGCTCGTACACCAATGTCTCGGTGAATCCCAGGCTCCCAAACCAGTGTTACAAAATGTCCAAAAATTCCTATGATGTACCTGTGGGAGGCAGAGCCAAGAAAGTCATTTTAAGAGTGTGATGTAATCAACAGTCCAAGATTCTTAATTAAAATGTGTTCAATAACACTGGGTATACTACTTGTTTGTATTGAATCGGTAATTTGGCTGGAGATTTAAAGAACAAGGAAGAACAAAATATCTAATAATTTACACGGTGTTCTTGCTTATTTATGTCATGCAATATCTTGAGGAATAGCTTTCCAGTGAGACTATGCATCAATACCCTAAGGTTATAATACATCAGAGTCCGTAACATTGCTTAACAACAATGTTTATGGAATAATCATCTGAGCTGTTACCAGATTTTTTCCCAAAATTATTTTAATGTTGAGTTCCATTGTTTGTTATCAAAATTAATTAGAGCCTAAGCCTTTATAACCAGTACTGTACTAAATTACAACACTTCAAGAGTCAGCTAACTTGCTTTATAATTACAAAATACTGTACCCACTGATTATAAAATATTATTGGAATGTAGGAATAAACCCACGACCCAGATGTACAAGGCCTGCATGCCTTCACTGCACACTGTGAGAAAGTACAGTATAAAAATATAACTTGACTAAAAAGCTTTATAGATGGAAGCATGGCAGTGTATTCAATTTCTTATAGATTTTGTTGAGCTATTTATGCCCAGACCTTCATTTGACAAAGTGTTAACAGAAATAAATTAAAACATACAGACAATAGATAGATATATACACACAAATGCATACTGTGTACCATATGGTGCTTAAAGAGACACTAATCTTTAGCTAAATAAATTTTGTTGCATCTTCCAGTAAACATTTTCAGTGTGACTGGTAAGCTTTAAGCACTACATAGTACAGCATAAATAAAATACCTAAAAATATTTAAGAGTACAGTATGCTTTCCAACTTTAAATACAAAATGGTTACAAATAAAAATTAACACAAAATTAATATACATTATATACAAAACATTATAAATCTCACCATCAGAAAAACCCATAGTCATATAACTTTTCAATTATGCTACCAAGTATAAACCTCATACTTAATATTGTATCATGTAGAAGATAAATTACATGACTGCTTGACACTTACAGTGCAGTCTTTTATGATATTCCTAAACTATTAATTAAAAAATGTCCCCCAGGTATATCTTAATTATCAATGTGTTTTTCTTCTTTTCTTATATATAATGAGCCCATAAATATATCTTAAACAAATATTGGTGTACAGAGGCACCTCACTCGAATGGACTAATTGAGACCAGAACAGTTCCATTTTACTAATATTCCAAGCCACAGGAAGTTTCATAATTGCTTGCTATTTATTGCAAAAGTTTTTTCCTCACACCCCAAATGATACAGTACATCTTTGTCATAAATAAATAACAAAAATATGTCTACATAATGCATTATTAATACAGTATGTATGACAGTAAAATACAATAATAATACTGTACAAAATTTTAAGAATATAATAGAAAGACTGTAGTTTACTTACCTGGAGAAGAATTTTTTAATGCTAGCTAATGTGTTTAGGCAGAATGTATGCATACAGAATGGTATGGTAGTACTGTATTTAACACAAAACAAATGCTGCAAAAAATTGATACACTATGCTGCTGCATACACTCTTTATGATCCTGTTTCTTAGTACATTTTCTCACTGTGATCCAGTGCCACTAATTCTCTTTTTTACTTGCAAATTCTCAGACTCTCAGTTTGCTCAATGTATTTAGCCTTGTTTTTATATTAGAATAGCACCTCTTCCCTTTCGTTTTTTTTAAGCTTGACTACTACTGCTGGTAGACATCTTTTCAACTCTCAAATGATGAAATAACTAAAATGAAATACCTGTACATACAAATCACTGAGTACCAACATGTCCACATGACCAGAGAGGGAATAAGCAGCTGAACAGGATGACACCTCTGGTTGCAAGTGGGATATGGCCACCACTCGAAGTTACAAACTAGTACACAATTTGTAGTAAATATTTGGGTGAAGAAATAATTTGCAAAATTTAAATAATGTTTTTATTAGTATTTACTACTAAAGGCAGGCAGATAACTTTGAAAATATGAAACTTGGGTATTTTTTGTGCAAATTATGCAGGTCTACCAACACAGCTCAATGAAGCAGACACCATATTCCAGTTCACCAAGACCATAAGAATAAATGAAACTAAGGGCTGTAGAACTGTAGGTAGGGCTGTAGAAGCCCTATCAGCCTATGCATGCAAGCTTTTATTTATAGCAAATCAATCCAGCAAGTCCATATACCGTATATCATGTTATCAAGAACTTGGCAAATAGCCAATTATTTCTGGCTCATTGTGATCTATTCGAGCAAGGTTTCACTGTACAGTACATTCAATTTGCTATACTGTACCTATTTATGCAGAAAATTTGTCCAATAAAAACACATAATTGTTATAATAAAATTAACAACTCTCATATGAAATATAATGGTTCCAGCATTCATTAGCAGATAAATTGACAGCTGTTTTGTTATATATTTAATTTTAGTCTAGGTGCATTAAAATCCTAAAATCAATACTAGTGTCCAAGATACTTCTCTGATAATAGTTTGTATTAATTACCAATAAATCTGATATCTACAGCGACTAAATAGTGTATCAGAAAGGCATACAGCGACCCAAGCCTGCTACTGATGCATTAGCATTAAACCTGTAAGAATCAAATACATCTTCCATGCAAAATGTTGTTGTCGACTACAACACTTGCTTAACATGTGTTATCCACTTGTAGAGTGTACAGACAGTACCAAGTGCTCTTATATATGCACATAATAAATTGAACTTGATATGATACTTTATATTTGTAAGTGAATAATTCTTATAAATAGCCATAAATGGGAAAGTTCATTTTTAGCTAAATTACAAGTCTCGTTGACATTATGCACATGCCTATATCATCAGCTAAATCAGCTAAGTGCTGAGGGTCTCTTACAGTCAAGAACACCAATATGTAGATATACAGGAAGCTATTTATTACCTGCAGCTCATCACTTACTTTGCACAGCAATTTTTTTTTACATAAACAATACAATCATCCTATCAGATGCTAAAACACTAGTACATCATGTTTTGATTTAATCTATGCATTTAAGCTACTTAAATTGGGAACTGAACAATTCATATTGTCCAGTGTGCCAGTAAGAATAATAATAGTAACTTCCATAGTATTACCATAATTTAAATTTACTAAACAATTTCTAAATTTTATTTATATGAAAAATATAAATATAGTTCCTTCTGTAGCATTAATGCAAACCCCATATAAATTTAAATAATTAACTTAAGAACTACAGTACTGTATTTATTTGTTCTATATAGGATATACCTTTTCCTTTTTAGTTATGTTGCACATTATTTTAGTGCATATTTGACAACATTCTTTGACATAAACGGTGTCATTATTAGCCTGTATAAATCTAATGCTTGGAAAGACCACCTCCATATGCCTTAACCATTTTAATTGAAGTATTCTAATCACTGAGTGCCAGTAACATTATAGAATTTGTTTATTCATCAGACAGTACTTGGTCTTTCTCATTCATTTCCTGTATCATTGTCTCTAGTTTCAACATTTTTTTTATCAATCATTAACCCTTAAACCGCGCAAATCATATATATATGATATCAGTGACAAAACCAAAACCGCGCACATCATATATATATGATTTCGTGTTTAGCACTATAATTTAAACACCCCGCATGG